AGAGTTGGGGTGTTCAGCCTGGAGAAGAGAAGGCTCCAGGGAGAGCTGAGAGCAGCTTCCAGGGCCTGAAGGGGCTCCAGGAAAGCTGGGGAGGGGCTTGGGACAAGGGCAGGGAGGGATGGGAGCAGGGGGAAGGGTTTCCAGCTGGCAGAGGGAGCTGGAGCTGAGATGGGAGGGAGAAATTCTGGGCTGTGAGGGTGGGGAGAGCCTGGCCCAGGTTGCCCAGGGAAGCTGTGGCTGCCCCATCCCTGGGGGTGTTGAAGGGCAGGTTGGATGGGGCTCTGAGCAACCTGATCTAGTTGAAGATGTCCCTGCCCATGCAGGGGGGTTGGAACTGGATGATCTTTAAGGTCCTTTCCAACCCAAACCATTAGGTCTATAACTTAAACCCTGCGTTGGGGCTGTTAGACCCAGGGGGGGCTGCAGTGCCAGGCCTGGGGTGACACCTGTGCAGCTCCCCCCTGGTTTGGTGAGGCCCAAAGCCCCAGGGAGCAGCTGGGTTGGGTTGGCAGTTGGAAGGTGAGGCAGGGGCAGTGCCCCCCTCCCCCATCACACCCACCTGTGGGACACGGGTGGGTGCAGGCACAGAAGAAATCAGGCCTCTGCAGCTGCCAGGGCCCTCGGGGCTGTTTGCTCACATTTTACTCATCTCTGTGGGTGTGTGTGTGTGGTGCCTGCCTGGGTTTGCAGTGTTTGCTTTTCCACAGGTCAGAATGTAGGGTGAATGTGGGCTTCGTGCCAGGCTGGACAGGAGATGCTTTTCTTGGCAGGATTTCCCCCCACTTTTGACTTTAAATTTCTGATGAGAATTGGTTGTGACATCATTTATAGCCCAGGAAAAGCAGCTCTCCCCAAACTCCTTATGCTCCCTCATACAGGTGAGCTATTTTCCCACTGGAAAGAAGCACTGCAGGGTTTTAGCTCAAGGTTTTAGCTTCAAGACAGAAGTGTATTAAATAGTGGGCTGTTGTTTTTTTTTTCCCTGAACCACTATTTCAGCTGAAAATTCACACTTATCATCTGTATCCCCTTGAATCCTTGCTGTTTTTCAGAGAAATGGTGATCATGGGAGTCTGTTTCTTCCAAAATAAAGGGTGTTTGTCCTAGATAAAGTTGGTGCCTCTTGTCTGTTGTGTTAACAAGAGCTGCCTGTGTCATTGTAGTTTATTTCAGTAAACTGCAAGACTAATAATAATTTATTTGTTGGATTCTTGAGGGTTAGGGACCCTTGCTTGAGGGTTAGTTTCAAAAGGTAGTGGGAGGAGAAACAGGTACAGAGACATGACTTGGCCAAATGATACAGCAAAGGGCAGGGCTGGGGTTGGAGCTGTGGTCTCCTGAGATGTGGTTGTTGGATTTGTGATGGAGCTGGAGATCCTCGTGTCCCTGAGGCAGGCAAAGGAGGCAGAAATCCAAGACATCCTCAGCAGCAGCTTGGAAGAGCAGTAAGAGCTGCTCACAGTTAAAAAAGCTGCTGTTTAATTTAATTTCTCCCTTGTGAAGCTCAGCAGGGCAGGTGATTTGAAGGGATTTTACTGGTGCAGTGGTGTTTCAAGGAGGGTTTGACAAAAACACACCTCTAGGGTGGTTTGTTTAGGTCTTGGGAATTAAATCCACTCAGTAAAGCACATGTGGGTGTCCATATGTTCTCACTCCTAACAGGTTTTGCTGTGGATTTCTTGGGTGTCTAAAGAGTTTGGTGTAGCCATTACATGAGCACAGGAGGATGATTTAACAAATCAAGAGGAGTTTTCTTACTGAAGTGTTGGTTTTTTTTTTCCTTCTGCAGGTGACATACAAATGGCTGAGTTACACTCTGGGAGTTCATGTCAACCAGGCTAAACAGTAGGTATTGGTGCATCCCCCACACCTTGTGGTAAAGCTTTGCTAATTACTGTTCTCATTCTTGTGGTTGGTGTATTCAAATGTTCTTTGGAGATATTTTAAAATCCTGGATGTCTTCCCAGGCACAGGCAGTTTTGGAGAAGGGCTGTTTACTAGGGCTTGTAGTGAGAGGACATGGGGGAATGGATTAAAACTGGAGGAGGGGAGATTTAGGTTGGACATGAGGGAGAAATTCTGGGCTGTGAGGGTGGGGAGAGCCTGGCCCAGGTTGCCCAGAGAATCTGTGGCTGCCCCATCCCTGGCAGTGTTGAAGGACAGGTTGGGGTTGGGACTGGGTGAGCTTTCAGGTCCCTTCTAACCCAAACCATTCCATGATTCTGTTACTCAGCACACCTTGCTCTTCCTTAGGCAGATCTTGCCTTGGGTTTGGGAGCTGTGCTTTAGAGAGCAGCTGGACACCTTATCCTGCTTCATCTCATAAATACTTAGGTCAGAATAGATGTGTTAGTGCTGTATTATTGCAGGAGCTCCTGTAGGTCCTTTCAGCCTGAAAGGTTTCTGCACGTGGTTCCAGGCCTGCACACAGAGCTGTGCCTCAGGATCTACCACTGCCTATCCCAGCTTCAGATGCTCTTCATGATGGATGGATCTTGCTGGGAGCAGAGACAGGAAAATGCAGAACAGCACTAATGGTGACTGCAAATGCTCATCTGCTCTGATTACCCTGCTGCACAGTGCATGACCCATTAGAAACATCTACTTACCAGGCTTGATGGGAGCAGGGAAATGTTTGAAGGGTGGGAAAGTCAGCTGTGCTGTCAGAAGGAATCATAGAATGTGCTGAGTTGGAAGGGACCCATCAGGATCATGAAGTCCAACTCCTGTCCCTGTGTAGGGCACCCCTAGAATCACACCATGTGCCTGAGGGCAATGGTTTTGCTTCTCCAAATCTAGCATGAATGTATAGCCTTATCTTGGTGTATTTTGAAGAAGAAGAATTGTTCTGGAGCAGCTCTGCTCTGGAGCCAGGCTGGGAGAGCTGGGGTGTTCAGGCTGGAGAAGAGAAGGCTCCAGGGAGACCTGAGAGCAGCTTCCAGTGCCTGAAGGGGCTCCAGGAAAGCTGGGGAGGGGCTTGGGACAAGGGCAGGGAGTGAGAGGACAAGGGGAAATGGTTTCAAGCTGTAAGAGGGGAGATTTAGGTCAGAGATCAGGAAGAAATTCTTCCCCACGAGGGCAGGAAGGCACTGGCCCAGGTTGCCCAGGGAGGCTGTGGCTGCCCCCTCCCTGGAGGTGTTGAAGGGCAGGTTGGATGAGGATTGTGCAGCCTGGGCTGGTGGGAGGTGTCCCTGCTCATGGCAGGGGGGTTGGAACTAGAGGATCTTCAAGGTCCCTTCCAACCTTCACCATTCTGTGACTCTTTGATTCTACTACAGCCTTTTAAATATCCTGTAAACCAAAGGTTGAGCTCTCAAGGCTTCTGGGGCTGTTGCTTCACAGCAAGGGAAAGTTAAGTGTAAGATTTGAAGGCTCAGTGAGTGCATCAAGTCCCATCATACAGTTATTTTTTTCTCCTTGTTTCTGGCTGTAGCTTGGATATCAAGGGCCATTTGCTGCGTGCTCAGCTACAGTGGAGTGAACTCAGCTTCACTTGTCTTGTCCAAACTAGAAGAATATCAACTTGAGCATCTAAAGCAACAAAGAGTTTGGTCTCTTTCCTGTCTTGTGTGTGTCAACAATCTAGCTGCTGGGTGTGTTCAGTGATGGTTTGAGCTCTGCTGGGAACAGTTCTGGTCTTACAGTAAACTAGAAAGAGACAGAACTTCTTGCTGTGAAGGAGATGGTCCAGGTGAAATGGAGGCACCTTGTAAAGCAGCCTGGAGATGGAAAACTCTCGTGGCATCTTTATGCTGAAAACTCTTCTAGAAGCTGGAGATGTGCCTGATAAGACAAGTGAATGAATTTAGTGAGTGTGCTGGCTGTGGCAGGGTGGTGATTGCAGTCTGACTCTGTGGCAAGGAGAATCTTCCACTATTTTTATGAGACAGTGTCCTCGTGGAGTGTGTGGTTGTGCCTGTGCCCAGTTCCTCTGCACACTCATGAATCAGTGGGATAAGTGGGGGAGCTGAGGGCTTGAGTCTCAGCTCCATCTCATCATCACTGATCATGCTCTGTCCTCAGGTTTCTGGTCACCATGGCAGTGGATATAACTGGGTCTGTGTATACACACCTGGCAATGTGATCAGCTACCAAAAATCACCAGTTCCTCTGCCAGGTGTTTGAGAATGCTGGGTTGTAGCAAGGGAAAGGGTCTTCTCCAGGGGAGACTTCAGAACAAGGAGCCAAGAGGATTTGAGACCATCTGCAACCAACTGTTAAAGCTTTGAGATTGATTGTATTCGTTTCACCTTCAGCTTCCTTAGTTATTGGACTGCAGTTCTTCAAAGAGGCAGAGGGGAAAGGTGTCTCAGTAAGATTCAATTAATCCAAATTAAAATAACTGCTGGTGTGAAATGCTGCTTTCAGTGCAAGCTTCACAGGAGGGGTGGTGATGGGCTCCTTCCTTTCTAGGTGATTAACTCTGGTTTCTTTTGTGCAGGATGCTGTATGATTATGTTGAGAGGAAACGAAAGGAGAACTCAGGAGCTCAGCTTCATGTCACCTACTTAGTAGCAGGAGACCTCATCCAGAACGAGCACGTTGTGAGTGTTTTATTTCTCAGAGATGTCTGTGAGCTCTTTGTTCTTGTCTCTTCAGTCTTGCTTGGTAATCTTTGGGTCAAAAGCTGAACTTGCTTTCTTTCTCAAGCACAGTGTGCTTGGCCTTTGCACAAAAGAAGGGGCTGTCTCCAAGGGGAAATCATGCTTGACCTACCTGCTGGCCTTGTGTGATGACATAACTGGTTGGCTGCATGAGGGGAGAGCAGCAGGTGTCATCTACCCTGACTTCAGCAAGGCTTCTGACACTGTCTCCCATAACATCCTCACTAGGAAACTGAGGCAGTGTGGGCTGGATGAGGGGACAGTGAGGTGGGTAGAAAGGAGGTGTGGGACAGAGCTCTGAGGGTGGTGATCAGTGGGGCAGGGTCAAGTTTGGGGCCTGCAACCAGGGGTGTCCCCCAGGGGTCAGTACTTGGTCCAGTCTTGTTCAAGCTATTCATCAATGACCTGGATGAGGGCACAGAGTGTGACCTCAACAAGTTCACTGGTGACACCAAACTGGGAGAGGTGGTGACACCCCAGAGAGCTCTGCTGCCACCCAGAGACCTGAACAGGCTGGAGAACTGGGCAGAGAGGAACCTGTTCTTGGCAGGTGTAGGGTTCTGCACTTGGGGAGGAAGAACCCCAGGCACCAGTACAGGTTAGGGGTGGACCTGCTGGAAAGCAGCTCCCAGGAGAAGGATCTGGGAGTCCTGGGAGATAGTACATGATCCATGAGTCAGGAATGTGTCCTTGTGGCCAAGAGGGCCAAAGGAATCCTGGGCTGCATGAGGAAGAGTGTGGGCAGTAGGTGGAGAGAGGTCATTGTGCCCTTCTGCTCTGCCCTGGTGAGGCCACAGCTGGAGAACTGGGACCAGTTCTGG